TTAGCGATGTGGAGCATCTTTTCATGTGTCTCTTGGCCATCTGTATTTCTTTTTTGGAGAACTGTCTGTTCAGTTCCTCTGCCCATTTTTTAATTGGGTTATTTGTTTTTTGTTTGTTGAGGCGTGTGAGCTCTTTATATATTCTGGACGTCAAGCCTTTATCAGATCTGTCATTTTCAAATATATTCTCCCATACTGTAGGGTTCCTTTTTGTTCTATTGATGGTGTCTTTCGCTGTACAGAAGCTTTTCAGCTTAATGTAGTCCCACTTGCTCATTTTTGCTGTTGTTTTCCTTGCCCGGGGAGATATGTTCAAGAAGAGATCACTCATGTTTATGTCTAAGAGGTTTTTGCCTATGTTTTTTTCCAAGAGTTTAATGGTTTCGTGACTTACATTCAGGTCTTTGATCCATTTTGAGTTTACCTTTGTATATGGGGTTAGACAATGGTCCAGTTTCATTCTCCTACATGTAGCTGTCCAGTTTTGCCAGCACCATCTGTTGAAGAGACTGTCATTTTGCCATTGTATGTCCATGGCTCCTTTATCAAATATTAATTGACCATATATGTTTGGGTTAATTTCTGGGGTCTCTAATCTGTTCCACTGGTCTGTGGCTCTGTTCTTGTGCCAGTACCAAATTGTCTTGATTACTATGGCTTTGTAGTAGAGCTTGAAGTTGGGGAGTGAGATCCCCCCTACTTTATTCTTCTTTTTCAGGATTGCTTTGGCTATTCGGGGTCTTTGGTGTTTCCATATGAATTTTTGAATTATTTGTTCCAATTCATTGAAGAATGTTGCTGGTAATTTGAGAGGGATTGCATCAAATCTGTATATTGCTTTGGGCAGGATGGCCATTTTGACGATATTAATTCTTCCTAGCCATGAGCATGGGATGAGTTTCCATTTATTAGTGTCCCCTTTAATTTCTCTTAAGAGTGACTTGTAGTTTTCAGAGTATAAGTCTTTCACTTCCTTGGTTAGGTTTATTCCTAGGTATTTTATTCTTTTTGATGCAATGGTGAATGGAATTGTTTTCCTGATTTCTCTTTCTATTGATTCGTTGTTAGTGTATAGGAAAGCTACAGATTTCTGTGTGTTGATTTTGTATCCTGCAACTTTGCTGTATTCCGATATCAGTTCTAGTAGTTTTGGAGTGGAGTCTTTAGGGTTTTTTATGTACAGTATCATATCATCTGCAAATAGTGACAGTTTAACTTCTTCTTTACCAATCTGGATTCCTTGTATTTCTTTGTTTTGTCTGATTGCCGTGGCTAGGACCTCCAGTACTATGTTAAATAACAGTGGGGAGAGTGGGCATCCCTGTCTGGTTCCCGATCTCAGTGGAAATGCTTTCAGCTTCTCGCTGTTCAGTATAATGCTGGCTGTGGGTTTATCATATATGGCCTTTATTATGTTGAGGTACTTGCCCTCTATTCCCATTTTGCTGAGAGTTTTTATCATGAATGGATGTTGAATTTTGTCAAATGCTTTTTCAGCATCTATGGAGATGATCATGTGGTTTTTGTCTTTCTTTTTGTTGATGTGGTGGATGATGTTGATGGATTTTCGAATGTTGTACCATCCTTGCATCCCTGGGATGAACCCCACTTGGTCATGGTGTATGATCCTTTTGATATACTGTTGAATTCTGTTTGCTAATATTTTATTGAGTATTTTTGCATCTACATTCATCAGGGATATTGGTCTGTAATTTTCTTTTTTGGTGGGGTCTTTGCCTGGTTTTGGTATTAGGGTGATGTTGGCCTCATAGAATGAGTTTGGGAGTATTCCCTCTTCTTCTATTTTGTGGAACACTTTAAGGAGAATGGGTATTATGTCTTCTCTGTGTGTCTGATAAAATTCCGAGGTAAATCCATCCGGCCCCGGGGTTTTGTTCTTGGGTAGTTTTTTGATTACTGTTTCAATTTCTTTGCTTGTAATTGGTTTGTTTAACTTTTGTGTTTCTTCCTTGGTCAGTCTTGGGAGGTTGTATTTTTCTAGGAAGTTGTCCATATTCTCTCATATTCTTAACCTCCATGTTCTTGGGCTATGTCTTGATCCATTTCGGAATGGAATTCTTATTCCGGAGTATACTTAGATTGTTCTTATTAAATAATGTAGTAATGCCCAGACAAATTTAATGCTGACAGCAGATTGCAGTAGCTATGAGAAGGATATTTTCAAGTAGCAGACTTCTAGCAGATTACTGCTCTTTTTCGACCATTCTGAAATTGATTTATAATCCAGTAACCAATTCTTTTTTAATGTGCAAGGAGATAGAGGTCAACAATTTCTCCCAGCCCTAATGGAGCTGATGATTTAATGGTAAATCAGTACATGGATTTTAAAAATTCACCTAAAGATACAAGTTAGTATGGAAAGAAGATAAGCTCATCAAAATCTAGAAGATGTGACAAAATCAGGGAACCTACCTAAGTCAGCTTCACAATGAAGTTTATAAAGGAAAAAAAAAAAGAAAAAACCGAGAATAGTATATCCTAGTACTAAATGGTTAATGCAGATAGCAGAATGTAAAGTACTGTGAGGATTAAAAAAAAAGGGAACGAAAAAATCATTGCAGGCTAAAGAGATAGAAGAAAGCCTTCATGAATGAGATAGGAGTGGAACTGAGTTCATTAGAAATGGTAGAAAGTATTTATTTGGAGGATTGAATATTCAGAAGAAAAAACTTGAGACTATATACATAAATATATAATTTTAAATAGACATGAAGTGGAGGTTGGAGTAGTATGGACTTTTCAGGGGACTATATTAAGTAGTCCATTTGTGCTGAATCAGTGGGTTTGAATAATGTCATCAATCTTTGCTCTGTAGCAAACCAACCCAAACTAGAGGCTTAAAATAAAAATGTTAGTTTGTGAACTTTTCTGGGTCATCAGTTCACGCTAGACTGAGATGGCAAGTTCCTGGGTCCCTCATGGGGCTGCAGAGAGCTAGTGTGGGCCAGGGCTGGGTGTTCTAGGGTCACTGCATGTTGAGCAGTTATAGCTGTTGGTCAGGCACCTCAGTGCTGTCCTTTGTGGTTTGTTGACTTGGTGGCAGGTGGCAGGGGTTCAAGAGGGTGAGAGTTGGAGCAGCAAGGTCTCTGTGGCCTTGCCTAAGAGCTCACATGGCAGCACTTCCAGTATATTCTGTTAGTCAAGGTTAGGCTAGCCTCTGATTTAAGGGAACTGGGAGTCTACGTCCAGTTTAGAAATCTGTTTGAGAAGTGTACTTAAGTGTGATTAAAAGCTTAGGATGGTACCTGATTATAAATGGTCTTAAATGTAACTTGGCTTTTCTTCTATTTTCAATGTATTGGGTTCAACTTCTAACTTTTATTATAAGTGATAGTGTGTATTAAGCCCCTTTTAGAGCGAATGGGAATAAACATGTGATGGCTAATAATTCTTTGTTTTGTCTTTTTGTGTTCAGATTTATTGCTTGAATCACAATAGCCAATATGGAAAATTAATTAGGACTTGGATTTATTTTCTAATTTTGCTCTGTTTATTTTTATGGTGGGAACAGGGGAAGGAAAGGGGAGAGGCAGGTCCCATGTACCATAATCACAGTGCTTAGGGCCTCTTCCAGGTCACCATCCAGACCTGAAAGTCAGTACCAAGTAATGGAGGGGCCAAGTCGTAGAGCTGCTGAACTGAAATGGTGTGTTCATTCGAAACTTTGATTCTGTATAGGTTAGGTTTTTGAATTTGTATGTAAGATGTTCAGTTATCACAAGGAAAGCAGATGTGACAAACTAGTGCCGTGCATACAATGAGTGTAAATAATAAATAGTAATAAATCTTGTGTGATAGTTTATAGATAGCAGTTGCATTTTATATCACATTGGCTTATTCAGAGTTTGATCTTTTAAGACAAAATAGTGGACATTTATGTGTGAATTGATATGAACAAAATTGCTTTTCTTTTGAAAAACAAGATATGAATTTATTATATGCAATATTTTTTCTCTTATATAGATCAGGAAACTGGCATTTTGCTCATAGTTCATTCCCACCATTTATGCATGTAAAAAACACAAATTCTGTTATAGTAAACCGTTAGCAAGGAGACTTCCTGTTCATTTCTTATAGGGTTGCAGTGTCGTTTAAATCATTGCTTTTTAACAAACTTAGTCCGAAGAATATGTTGGAATTTTTGCTTTGGGGGGACTTGACATCTAATTTTGCCTTTATGTATTTTTCTAATACTGCAGTCGAGCATTATTTTTTTCTTTTTAGGTGTAATATAAGTGAAAATTTACAGAATATAAATTTCAGAATAAGTTATGAAATTTTCAAATGTCTTTCTTTTTAACAGTATAAATATGTCAAACTATTTTTCAGTAGGGAAATAGGAAGGGATGAGCAGTAATGCCTTGAAGATAATACTGAGGTTAACTATTGGGTAAATTTGAAAATGTATTAATTGACATAGTTTCCTCTCTTTGAATTGTCCTCAAAATTTATTGCTTAGAAACATTTTTGAGCTTTCAAAAAAAGTTACAGAATCAAGTTCAATAAAAATGTAGCATTAAAGAAACCTCGGTAGAAACAGGTTAAAATTTGTCAGCATGTGCCCCAGTGACAGAGTCCCAAATGTGTGTTTGGCACCATGGCAAGTGTGAATTAATGTAGCCTTGATTAGTATGACATAACTGACTTCTAGAGTCTGTAGCTAATTTCAATTTTAAATGTCTGCTTGGACATCAAACACCCTCTTACTCATAGAAACGTATCTCATATAATGCTGAGAAATTTACAGTGCTCTTAAAGGAAATTGAATCAAATAAGATAGATGTGAATATTGCCATTCCATTTCCAGAAAGGCACAAACTGAAAGCTAAAAACAGGAGACCACTGAGTTTGAGTCGTATCACTCTAGTCCCAAATCGCATCCTGTTTCCACAACATCCTGCCTTAAAAAGCCAAAGTGCACTGAGCATGCTGCAGTCTCATAGCAGATGCTTAGTCCCTGTCAACGTTTCTTTCTTTAGATTTCACCAACAGTTTGAGTATCACTACTCCTGAACAGATGATTGAGAAGGCCAAAGGGGCGACTGCCTATTTGCCATGCAAATTTATGCTTGGTCCAGAAGACCAGGGCCCCCTGGACATTGAATGGCTGCTGTCACCAGCTGATAATCAGAAGGTGGATCAAGTGGTAAGTTTGCTAAGGGCTTGCTTACTCAGCAGTTGTCTGTGGACCTTGTCTTAGGTGTTCCTCACTGTGCTGATCACATAGGTGGGGATCATGGGGAGAAGTGAAGAAAGTCCCAGACTTCTCCAGCATGTAGTCTGGGTGAGGAAGGTAGTCACTCCAGTGGTAAGTGAGGGCACACATATAATGGAGTAAAATGGATAATAGATGGCATACCATCTCAGAGCAAGAAAAGATCACTAGATTTCTTAGAGAGGGCTTCCTTAATTACGAAGAACTTGTGAACGTTCAGAAAATCTGTCCCTGGGAGTGTATGAGAGTCAAGGTAGTGGAGGTGTATATGGAGCAGGCATGATAGCGTGGCAGGAATGTGCATGATGTTTTAGAAGATGGCAAGTAAACTGGACTTTGGACAGGTTAGATGGAATAGAATTTTTAACTTTAACATAAGAATTCTGCTGCCAGTATGAGGGTTGTCAAGTGTAACATAGTGAAACACAGGTACATATTATTACAGAGTCTGTTTCCTGTATTACTCCAAGTTAAATATCCTGCGTAATGAATTTCATAAAAAGAGCAAAACACTATCTTCATAGCCAAAAAGCAATTTATAAAGTACTTAATCTTAAGTTTTAAAAAAGTGATATATCAAAATATTGTTATGGAAATTTTCTAATTATAGAGTAGTAAGAGCCCAATGTAAGAAATTTGGAAAGTGGCAGCAAGGAGGAAAATCATCAAAAATTTTGATACTCCCAATAATCTCATCTGCACATACATAATTACTCTGTCTTTTAATGGTACGAGAATATTTCACTTAATTTAGAATGTTGTATATGAACTTCATCTGATGTATTTAATTTAAAAAAAACCCTTGTTAATAAATTAATTATATTAGACTAGGGAGAAGAAAACAAGTCCATATATTTAGAGGAATATGGTAATACATTTGTATGTATTTGGAAGAGAAATTTTAATTTTATTTATGGTCCATATAAATGAAAAGATTTATTCAGCCACTTTATGGCTGAATCAGTGCAGCTAGGTAATTACTGTTTTGGCAAATCCCAGCAGCTTGTCCATAATGTATTTGTGAAGGAAGTTCTTTCCTAAGTTCTGAATGACTAGGGCCACCCTCTCTAAGATCATACTTTGCCCAGATTCTGCAACTGGAACTTCCTTCTCTCTCCCCTAAGCAAAATAAATTGAGATCGACTGATTTTCTTGACTCAGCCCAGATACTCTGTCCCCTCCCTGCCTTGTTCTCCTTTCCTCTTTCCATAGCAGTACCAGAACTCTGAGCACAGACTCCTTCCTGAGGTCCTGCACACCCTCACACTCTTGTCCTGCAGTGGCCATCTCCCTTTTGAGCCCAGGTTTCTGCTCCCATGGTGCAGACGAATGAATGAATGGAGAGCACAGGTCTTAAATGCTTCTACCTGCAGACTCTTAAGTGAAGTCCTATGACCAGGTGCATCTAGAGACTAAGCATCATAGCTATGCCCTGGAGCCTTGTGTGTCCATTCATGGAGGACGACCCAGAATTCTTTGTGCTGAGTGGGAGGCACAGCCTCGCTGCCTACAGAACCTGTAAGACACATGTAGAACTAGGAACTGGGTTTAAGTGTCCATTTTCGGGTAAAAACCTAGCCTCTACCCTAAAACAGTAAAATTGAACCAAATTGAAGATAGAACGTAGAGAGATTGATGCGGAAGAGGATGCTTATAGAATTTCAGCTACATGTTACTATGTAAAATGCATTATGTATTAGCTGAGCCCTATTTTAATATATTTAAGCTAGAAGGCAGCTAGCTGGTAGGGGACTAGGCTGGAAAATTTCCATCCTTATTTATTATGTGATTTATTTTAGTCAGCAAGCAGTTACCATGGACTTTGCACTTGCTATGTGCTGGGCAGTGTTTTCTATCCTTTAGTTATATAGATCTGTGTAAGCCTTAACACCCTAAAGTGAGAATTATTGTACACAAGAAGAGGAGATGGAGGCCCAGAGATTTGAAGGAATATGTGCAGGGTCACAGAGCTGGGAACAGACACAGTTGGGATTTGAACCCTGGTCTCCCCGACACACTGTGACCCACACTTCATTACCCTTCTCACTGTCGCATACTGCCTCCCATGTTTGATAAGTCTCCAGTTCCTCATGTGTAAGACGGGAACAAATACACCTACCTCTTGGGGTTGTGATGAGAATTCACTGAAATACTATATGCATAAATGTTTTGTAAGTTTAAAAGTCATTTGGAAATGTGGATAAAGTCAGTGTAATTTTCCAAGTCAGATGTTGGTGTTCCATCTGTGTGACTTTGCAAAAAATTTATCTGTGAGAGCCGCTGCTTTCCTCAAAATGAAGGTTAAATGTGGACAATGTCACCATCCTTATAGGTTTTGAAACAATTAAAATTTTCAGTAAATGTTAGTTCCTCATTAACTCCTGTTTATAGCACTGTTTTTATGGGAAAGCACTAAGATGGTTTACAGAATAACAGTGGAGACACCTTATATGTCAGGCCCTCCTTAAAAAACTGCTGAAGTATGTAGCAAAATGAGAGATGGAAAGTAGAATAGATTGAACTTCATGGCTCTGCACAAAAAAGGGAGTCGATAGTTAACTGCAAAGGAAGATATGGAAGCCACATTTGAGGAGTTCTCTGTGTTGCTATTGACAAGTGGGTGTGGCAGGAAGATGCAGGAAATAAAGTAACAGGTTTGTGTTTACAGGGTAAGGCAGCTGTGGACACTTCAACTGCTGCTTTGATTTTCTTAGCAAGTTGGTTTTGTGTGTATCCTAGATGGAGGTAATATATAAATAAAAAATCTTTTATGGATTAGTAATGGGGGTCATCAGCATGGCAGGGGATATGAAAATACAGAAAAACACGCAAGTCCTTATCCTTAAATTTCTACAGACACTGGGATTGTGCTGTCAATAATTCACATCTCAGATTTTTAAAAAAACTACTTGCAGGTTATATTTCTGACTGTTATCTCAGTTTGGAGCCCCTGCTCTTTGGCCCATGGGTCTTAGATGACCAAAATGAAGATTTTATTAGCAAATGCCAAAAAGTTTAGTGTCTTAAATTAATTTTAGTGATAGTTAGAAATGGCTGCTACAATTCTCTTTCAAGTCAAGTTTAACACAGAATTTATTTTCCCTGTAAATTTAGTCTTTATAGTTATTTCTACTGATCCCTGTAACTGTGGCTTAGAAAACTCAATGGGATTAGGAAGGGCCTTTGCTGTCATTCACAGATTAATTGGAAGATTTTGTTAACCTGGACACATGTATCTTAAGAAGTTTATTTTATGATTTTTGTCTACATTAGAACCAAGAACACTCAATTGCCTCTTAGTATTAAGACCAAAAAAAAAAATGTCTTTTTCATTAAATTCCACAGGTAAGTTATCATAAGCCTTTTTCTGGGAAATGCTAGTGGCACTATGTACCTGAGTATATACATTTGATGGGCATACTGCTGCCTCTGAGGCAGATAGATAATAAAGTGTATAGGAATTCACAACTCTGTGTTCTTGTCCAGTCTCACTAAAGCATTCTCCAAAATAGGACTATATTATTTAATCATGTTGGGTCTTGGTTTCCCCATTTAAAATGAGAGTGTGTAACCATACACAGGGATCTTACTGATCACTTTCTGTTTTCTTAATGTGAGGTTTGAATAATTGTAGGTTTCCTCATCATACTGTGTTCTGGCTCTTTGGGGCCCCACAGTACCATGGTGTATCCAGAGCTCCTTGAATGAGGCAGGATTTGCTTGTTTTTTTCCCTCATATTTTGGTTTTCTTTTAGATTATTTTATATTCTGGAGACAAAATTTATGACGACTACTATCCAGATCTGAAAGGACGAGTACATTTTACAAGTACTGATCTGAAATCTGGCGATGCCTCAATAAATGTAACAAATTTACAGTTGTCAGATATTGGCACCTATCAGTGCAAAGTGAAGAAAGCTCCTGGTGTTGGAAATAAGAAGATTCAGTTGACAGTTCTTGGTAAGTTATTTGTATTAATGTTTCTTGTTAATCAGGTGAGTAGTCATAGTAGTGTAGTGGCAGCATTTATGTAAGGCAATGTTTAGTTTTTTAGAGTACTAATTTTAAACATTTGAAGTAGTTCTGATGTTCTGATAACATAAAGCATGAAGCCAGCATACTTTTTTTAATACAAAAATAAGAAGTGATCAGCTTCTGTGTGAGATTCATGAAATAGTTTGAAGGTAAGTAAAGGAGTTTTGTGATATGGGAGAAGAACCCTGAGGCAAGAGTTAAGAGATTCAAGGTTTTTTGCATTGTCCTCAGATTTGCCAAGAATTAAATAGAACCTCTTCATCTCCTGCGGGTCAGCCTGCCTTTTTGAAACATAAGATTTAATTATCATTAAATACCTGATGTCATTCAGTTCAAAATTGTTTGTTACGGGAACTTTTAAGCTCTTCCAACTATGTTACGTAAAGAATAAATGAGATTTCTGTGATGAATAACTGAAGTATTTAGAATAGAGAACATGGAATATGGTGGAAGGAATATTGAATTGGGATAAAGCCATTAAATGCCAGATAATCACTTAACCTCCCTAAGGAACACTATTTTTCATTAAAGGGAGAGGATGAGACAGAGATGTTCATTAGGATGTCTTGTTGCCTCTCTGTGACAGTTCAGGAGATAACATGCTAACTGCTTTGTGAACTGTCAAAGACTGCAGAGTTTATTACCCCCTAGATTCTGTGGTCATGCACATGTACAGCTAACCCCTTCAGATTGAGGAACTCTGGAAAATTATTGTTCATAAATATACCTCTGAAGTCTTACTGTGGTAGACTTTACACAAGAGTACAATGGCTCCCATGGAGAAAAATACAACTGCCTAGCTCTGTTTTATTAGTGGAAATTCCCGTTTTGTGATCTAAGGTTTTCTGTTCTGGAGGATACTTGGGGACCCACTCTTCATAGGAAATTCACATTTGTAGATGTGCTTAGCATACCTCTGGAAATAACTACTCAAGACAGTTGTCTCCCACACCAGCTTTTAACTCATTCTTCCTTTGTTTTAGAAAACTGCTTAGGAGGATGGAGAAGTAAAATGTGTTGTCTAAACATCACTCTTTTGTAAAGAATGAGTATCAAGGCAGGTAGAGACTAACAATAGAAATGTGGATTTTTGTGCACCCCCTGGGCAACTTCAGGGGTTGTCTTGGTTGGGAAGGTAATCTTCCACAGGCAGCATTGTTGAGTAGGTGCATATGGGAGTCCTGGGAAAATGCATTCCATTCTAAAGGGCACTAGTTCAGAGTGTTCCCAAGATATGAAAGCAACAGAACATGAACAGAGAGCCTGGGAAAGGAGTATGGCAATGTTGGGGATTCTAGCTTTTGTGTCTGCATTCAATAAACACAGAATTACCTTTCCTTTTTATAATGTGAAAGCAGGTAAAAGTTTAATAACTAGTATGAACTCTTTTCCAAGACCCAGGCATACCTGAGATTATAAATCTATGATTCTTCTTCTAACACTGCTCTCCAGGAAACATAAAGATACATATGGAATTTTAACTGGTTCATGATGTACCAACCAGACAATACCTGGTTATCGCAATTGTTTGTTGTGAAATTCCTGAATGGGGCAGGTACACTGGGAAGAATGGAATTGGCACATATTCCTAGAAGCAGTGTGGACAAGCATGGGGGTGGTGCATAGGACCAGGTACTGGATTGAATTTTCAGGTCCCTACTGAAGGATCATTACAGCACAAGGCAGCGAGACTTACCTAAGAAGGAACCGAGTTGCACAATAGCATCAGCACATAATGTGGCTAAGCACACTCCTGGTAGCAGCCATGACTGCCAGGTAAGAGGAATGTCCCTTTTCCATGAAACCTCATAACCCAACATCTAGTTCCTCAAGATGTGTAGGTGAGAAGCATTGGGACAGTAACTCGTTTTGTTAGCTCTGTGGAGGACCAGCATAGCTAAACAAGCCGGGAATTCACACCAGAGGGGAAAGGGGGCTAAGCGCGGGTAAGACAAGACAGGGGAAATTATTGCTGACATGAGATGGGGATAACATACTCTGATCCCGCAGAGCTGCTTCAGAGCTGAGGAGAATTTCTCGCAGCTCTCTGGTATCTGAGTTATGACAGCTTCTGGGAGAAACCACCAGAATTTTCCCTTGAAACTGAGGGTTGAAAGTGAAGAAAGTAAAGTTTACCTGTTAGCTTTACGTGAAAATTCTGCCTGGATAATCCAGAGGAAAAATAAAATGAAGTGCCCACTAGGGACCCCAGACTGTGGTCCAGTGGAGCTCTCATCTATTTCACTGTTAGACTCTCTGCCTAACACCTTGATTCATTTGTGGGAAATCTAAAGGTGAGGCCACCAAGGTATTCATAGAGTAATGAGCACTGTGCACTGTAAGATGACTGTTAATTGCTTGAGTGTGAGGGGTAACATGCTACTATAGTGTGCCCCATTGCCAGAATCTGCCCTGCCTTTCAGATACATTAAAAGTGCATATGGGTGCAACTCAGTAAAGAAACTGAAAGCAGGTGATGTAAACAACTGGAGTTGATAGAGGGCTAATGTGGTGGCCAGTATCACCAGCACCTTGCCCAGGAGCTCAGAAAAGGCCTATTATTGACACCTTTTGATAGAAACAGACTCAGTGGTTCTGAAGAGTAGAGCATGCACAGTCAGTGGTTTCCTGGACATACTCAGTACACTCAGACTGCACTCACACCACCAGAACTTGGTGGCAGCATTTTGTGTGGTGCCTCAGTCAACACTGGCTCTGGGGACTTGGATTTTCAAGCCATTGGTACAGAGCAGAGCTTTTTTATTTTCCACATTTTATTTTGAAATGATTTTATTTTTAGCTTTATAGAAGGGTTGCTAAAATACTGGAGAGTTCTTGAATTAACTGCTCCTACTGTTAGCATTTTACAAAATTATAGTACAGTTATCAAAACCAAGAAATTAATGTTGGGATAATACTATTAACTAAAGTATAGACCTAATTCAAATTTTAGTTTTGTGCTAATATCAAGTCCAAGATCCATACTTCATTTACATCTTGGTCTCCTCTAGTCATGTCAAGGGGCATATGATGTTAATCATGATCACCTGGGTTAAGTGTTATCTGATGGTTTCTTCACTATAAAATTACTATTTTTCCTTCTGATTAAAAAATGTCTTGGGGGAGCCACTTTGAGGTTATTCAGATATCTTGTTTCTCAAACTTTTGCCCATTGATTTTTAGCTACTAGGCATGGATTTCACCTGAAGTTGGGGAACTTTGAACCAAGCAAAAATAGCATTCCTGGATGGATAACATGATGATGAAAGTATATCCTTTCCCATATAGGGGTTTATAGTATGTTTTCTATGGACGGAGGTAGGCTGCTAGCATAGAGGGATGATGATGCAATACATGTACAGGTGGGACACTAGCCAAGTACAAGTTGATGGTCATATGTCTTTAACTGAGAACAACTATTGGCTGTGATAATAATCATGGACGCAAGTGTTTGAGGGCAATGGCCAGGTATCCTGGAGCCCCAGGCTAAAGAAACACCAGAGAACAAGACTTTATACCTGTGAACCTTTTGTGGTTTTATCCTTCCTTCTTTTGGTCGAGCAAAGTGCCATGGATTATGAGTAAATCCTTCCCATGGCGTAATGGTTAGGATTGGTGCTTTCTCCTTCCAGTAGAAAGCAGATGGGCCACTCCAAATACTCAGAAACCAGTGTCTGCAAAAATCTTATTCTGTTGTGGATGGGGTATGTTGAGATCTCAAATTTGGTGGGGCCTTGAATTTCCTCAGCAGCTGCTCTAAGTAACTGCCCATTCATTATTGGATATGTTTGCTATATGGGAAAGGGATATTTTCAGTAGAGATAATGAGAGTGTTAGAATACTGTATGACCAATAGATGTTTGATGTACAAAGCAGTGCTTTCATATTTCACTGCTGGTTTATGTAATACAGGGTTTATTGATAGTCTGAAAAAATGGAGAACAAGGCTTAATTCATTCAAGTCTTGCAGGATAAACTAATTTGCAAAACTGATTTAAAAGCCCAGTTGATGTAATCTCCTGGGCACTTGATCAATCTAAAAAACAGATTTGCTTAGAGAAATAAAAAATGCAGTTACGTGCATCATTGACTCTTACTTAAAAATACAAGTAGTAATGGATGAAGAGGAGAAATACAGTCATATTAAGTAAGATTGTAATTGGCAACTTTAGTTAAAGATGTTCTACTGGACCTGTTCGATATGACGGATCTTATTGGCCAACTTTGGAAAACAGTTTGACAATTTCTTACAAACATACACATACCATAAAAAACCCAGCAGTTAACAAGAAAAAGGAAAACAATATTTGCTTGAGTGTTCAGTGTTGTTCATAATAGTGCCAATCACTGAACCCATTTACATTTATTCATAATAGTGAAAGGAATAAAAGTCCTTCCAGAACTAAAAGAATGAAAATCAGCTCAGACTGAAAAAGAAAAAAGCAATCCTGCTATGTATCAGGCTGAGAAGACAGATGTACATAAAGCCACCTACAGAGTTGAGAGGGAATGTTTCTCCCAAGCTTGTGGAGTAGCAATAAGCTAGAAGCCACAGCTGACTCCCCAGGCTGCCCCACTTTGCACTGCTTATCCTTTATGGGGATATTTGGTTGCTAAATGGCCCCACTCAAAATCCTATAGCATCCTATTCATAACTGATCTCTACCTCTCTGAGATTCTCCTCAGAATCTTTATGAGTCTCTCTCCTCCTTATCCTCTCCTCCCTTGCCCCGGGCATTCCCCAGCTCCTCCTAGGGCCTTCCTTTCCTGGTCAGGCAACTGATTTTGATAGACTACACGCTTGTCCTGGCCAGTTTAGCTAATTAGGCTTTAACAGTAGCTTCAAAAAACTGGAAACAGTGTTCACCAGTAGGTGAGTGAATAAGCAAATTTATATTATAATCAGGCAATGGAATACAACTCGGCAATAAAAGAATAGACTACTGATATATACAACCATGAGGATCAATCTCAGAAGCCTTAAAATGAATAAAAGAAGCAAGACAAAAGTACATACTGTGTTATTCCATTTATATGACTCTAGAAGAAGCAGAACTAGTCTACAGAGGTAGAAATCTGACCAGTGACTGCCTGGGGCCAGGATTGTGGCATGAGATTGACTGCACCCAGCACAAAGCAACTTGATTGGGAGAGGGTTGGAGTGGTGTTCTGTGGGTATATGTATATATACATTGGCTAGACGTCATCAACACCCCCCCACCACAAAGTGAGTTAATTTTATTATATATATATGGTATGCCTTAATAAAGTTCAGCAGAAGAGTATGAAATGCCACAGTAGTAATCCATTGTGGGGGTGGGATGCAAGTAATAGGGTTAGCAGATGCTCTAAACAAGTTACCCACAGAGACCTGGAATAATCACCTCAGATTTACCTTTTCATAACACTGCTCTCAGGATGGTTTTGGGTAAATGTAAATATGGAATGAATGTTAATTGGTCTTTGCTGCAGCAAGTGAAAGTGTCCCTGTTATCAGCATTGTTTATTATAAGCCCACTTATAATATTGGTGAGAGGTCAGACCCTCCGGAAGGATGTGACAGGGCACATGCCCCAGAGGACTACATGCCAAGCCCAGAGCAGATCAGGCAAGGAGCGGAAGGAGGAAGCTTCTTGAGTCTGAAGTGGCCGTCCCCATCACCCTTTTTTTCAGGCGTGCCCATTGGCATGAGAGGGCACAGAGCCATACCCGAGATGCTGCCAGATGTCTTTATGCGGTGGCTGTGGCCTGTTTGATTCTGGGTAAAACTGAGTAGACAGAAGTTGGCAACCAGTTCTAGTCTTCAGTCTTGTCAACTCTGAACCCAGGATGCCTTAATGAGTCTGTGATTATGCAGTGTGCTGGGTGTTTAAGTAATTATGCATATGAATTCCATTCTCATAAAGTTTTATTTTTTTTTCTCAGTTAAGCCTTCAGGTACAAGATGTTACGTTGACGGATCAGAAGAAATTGGAAATGACTTTAAACTGAAATGTGAACCAAAAGAAGGTTCACTTCCTTTACGATATGAATGGCAAAAATTGTCCAACTCACAGAAACTGCCCACCTCATGGTTAGCAGGTACTGCAGATTATATAATTTGTACCATGTGTGTTGATTTAGACTGAAATCTGGTAAGGTGTGTGTGTGTGTGTGTGTATGTATGTATATATTTTTAATTCACAAATACCTTTTCTATACAGAACAGTTAGGATTCTTTGGGAATTATTCACTGTCTTGTAATGACAACTTGGTGTCGTGTGAATGACGAGGCTTTTTTGATTTCGCCATTTAGGATATTATAATTGGTTTCTTTGGCACATATTTTTTAATTGATGATAATAGTGATGGAAAATGTTCATGATACTAAATTGAACATTGGCTAATTATAACAAGAGTTGGATCTTGAGTGTTTTGCCTAGATTTAGTTTGAAATTTACCCATGGTATGTCAGTAAAACATAACCTCAAAAAACACCTGTGTAACTTTATCTAAAAAGCTACAAATTGTTCAGTCTGATCACTCATGTGTTCTTACAATTGACCTGTTATTCAAACTGATTGTCATGTTCCACCCTGCCCACACTGGTCTGCAGTAGGATTTCTCTCCACTTTTGTTTTTCTTTTCAAGCTAAGAGACCATACTATATGACCCCTTCTGACTTTCTTTGTATGCTACTTCCATCTGGGCAATGAAATAGGTTTTGCAAATCCTGCTGCAGTGAAGAGCCTTTGTGGGATGGAATATTTCTTTCAATTAGTTTGGGTCTGCTTTAGCTGAGACTCCCTGTGCCTGGCTTAGGCAGTGATGGTTACTTTCTTCTTGGTACAAGTGAACTGGAGGCATGGTTTGTATTCTGGAGACATACATGTTTCTCCCTGGCAGTTTGTTTGCACCCAGCTTCAGTATGTCTTGCTTTTACCTGCATTGTCAAACTTAGTAGGGTTTGGCTTTACTAAAAACTCAGCAGTTCAGTACTGTAAAAAGGGTTTTGCTTTTGCCCCACCCTCCGACCCCCTTTCTTCCCATAGAAATGACTTCACCTGTTATATCTGTAAAAAATGCCACTACTGAATACTCTGGGACATATAGCTGTACAGTCACAAACAGAGTGGGTTCTGATCAGTGCCTACTACGCCTGGATGTTGTGCCTCGTAAGTATTTTCTTTCTGTTTCCATAATCTTTACACAGCTTCCTCTGGTTCAATCAATAAATGTGTATTATTGAGAGCAAGGGGATACTAACTTTGAGTAAAGCACTATGTGGCTTGGTTATTAACTTTTCTGAGTCATGGAAAGGGGAAAAATACTATATTTTATTAATTAAAACTTCTATTATTTTAGCAACATTTGGAAAATAAGTGTCAAATTAACTCTTGTACCATATTTAGCCATTGTTAAGCACAGCTATTTAGAACATTCTTATATGCCAACCAGTATAGTTGTAAATATTAAAATCTTTTCATTTAGTGTTATCATTTTTATGCTTGAAATAGAATGTGCAGTTCAGAAGAAAGTTCTTTTAGTGAGTTTAACCCTTGACCAAAAAAAGCTAATTAATTTGTCTCTTACAGTTAATAAACGCAATGAAATCAATCAGTGTGTTTGTTTCCTTATCTTAAATATGACCAGATTTTTTTTTTTTTACTATTACTTATTTTCTTATTAATATCTTATTCTAGCTTCTAATAGAGCTGGAACAATCGCAGGAGCTATTATAGGAACTTTACTTGCTCTAGTACTCATTGGTTTTATCGTCTTCTGCTGTCATAAAAAGCGCAGAGAAGAAAAATATGAAAAGGAAGTTCACCATGATATCAGGTAATTAAGTGACATAAGTTGACTGATGTATACTGAATTAATTATGTCTTCTAAAGCCTTAGTTCTGCTAACCATCTGAAGCACTTACCCCTCTGAGGATTAGATAAAACCTGTAGTTCGTCCTCTCAATACATTTTATTTTATTTTATGTTTTATTTTTTTGAGAGGGCATCTCTCATATTTATTGATCAAATGGTTGTTAACAACAATAAAATTCTGTATAGGGGGGTCAATGCTCAATGAACAATCATTAATCCATCTCAAGCCTAATTCTCGTCAGTCTCCAATCTTCTGAAGCATAACGAACAAGTTCTTACATGGTGAACGAATTCTTACATAGTGAATAAGTTCTTACATGGTGAACAGTGCAAGGGCAGTCATCACAGAAACTTTC